CAAATTTGTGCACGTTGAAAGGAAATTAATTAGAAGAAATATTTTAATACCGCTATTTGCCCATTCTCTATAATAGAAGTTTCAACCAAATTCACGATCGACAATGACAGATGGAAACACACGCATGCGATTGGCGCCAGCGAGAGCTTTATATGTATCGTGCATGTGCAAGTTAACTTAGCCTTTTATAGATATAGAATAAACTTGCTTAATTAGACCTGCTTTCTGATTTAGCTAAACTTTTTTCAGCCCAGTGAAGTACCCCAACTTCTCTTTCAGATAATTGTTAGCAACAGAGCAGTAAATATAAACAAAAAGCAGATTATTATTATAGATCACGCAGGGAGAACAAAGTGTAAAATATTTAACTGCAGCAGTGTTTGACTATATTCTGCACAGTGAGAAAACCTGAAGTCATCTTCAAGGTCCACCATTTCTTCTTATCAGTTGGGTCAAGTTTCTAAGCTTTCTAAATCTCCGTTTTCCGGCTAATGAAAAGAAAATAGGATCCCACCGAGTCTCCTATCTACCTACTCTAGGATCTAGGACTTCTGTGAGGGTCAAATGAGATGAGGCACAGGAAAATGCTTCACAAACATTTGGTTACAGTGTAAAATGTTTCCACCTGGCTATAAAGCAAGTTGTGTTCCTGGGCTGAAGAAACTCCAAGGAGCTAGTTGCTAGGGAGAGGAAGCCAGGCCTTGCTTCGTGACATCATTACCCGGACAGACACTTAGCATATTAGCCTTTTATATATATACCAGAGGCTTGATGCACGAAGATTCGTGCAAGAATGGACCTTCCTTCTCCTGGCTGTCGGCACCGACTTCGCTCTGGCCGGAGCCGCCTTTCTGCCTTCCCATGCTGCCCAGAGGTCTGGAGTGGCTGGGGGGGTGCGGAACGCCTGCAAGCATTCCGCCCTGTCCCCGGGCACTTGGCACCTGTGTATGCAAATTAACCTGCCATCTTTGTTGGGTTAATTTGCATACTTACTCCTGATTGGCTGGTGGGCGTCGCGAAGGTATGGTCAATTTGCATTTTCTCTTTTATTAGTGTAGATATCTATCTATCTTTATATATTTTATCAACATAAAAAAGCTTTTGGCTTTAAAAACACCAATTGCTATAAAGCTTTAAAATATATTTATGGTTTTTTATTTAGAGTCTTCGTAACTCAAGGGGATGTCTTACTACACTGTTAAGATTGATAGGACTAGATTCTCTTAATTGTATTTTGTCTTTCTCTTTCTCCTCTACCTTTTCCTTCATTCTTTCCCTTCTTCCTGCCTTTATTTTTCCTCCTGTCCTCGCCTGTTTTCTTCCTCTCTTCATTCTCTTACCCATTGACCCCCTTTCTTTCATTTATGTTTCAACAAATGAGAATAGGGTGATTCTTCAAGTAGCTTTAATTGAAACCATGAAAAATAAGTTTGGTATATTTCTAAACCAGACTTCACGGTCAAAGATGTTTAGGAAATGCTGTAGATTTCCCTCCTACCCCCTAGACCAGTGATGGCGAACCTATGACACGCGTGTCAGAGGTGACACGCAAACTAATTTTTTTGGTTGATTGTCCTTTGTTAAATGGCATTTAAATATATAACATAAATATCAAAAATATAAATCTTTGTTTTACTATGGTAGCAAATATCAAAAAATTTCTATATGTGACATGGCACCAGAGTTAAGTTAGGGTTTTTCAAAATGTTGACACGCCGAGCTCAAAAGGTTCGCCATCACTGCCCTAGACATTCTGCTTAGCTATTAAACCATTTTCTGTGCTGCAGGCTTTCTTAGGGCTTTAAATGCATGCGTTTTTGAATATCAAGAATGAGTGATTTAATAGGGTTCCCACACTTATTTATCTAGGAAACTCTGTTTAATGAAGAGCATCTTGACACTTCTCAATCTGCTTAGGTAATGATGGAAACAAATTGAGTTATTTTTAAAGGTGCATTTCTTAGCCATATTATAAGGAAATGGTAGCACTTATCAGAATTTTTGTTTTATTTATTTATTTATTTATTTAATTTATTTATTTAAATATTTTATTGATTTTTTACAGAGAGGCAGGGAGAGGTATAGAGAGTTAGAATCAATGAGAGAGAAACATCGATCAGCTGCCTCCTGCACACCTCCTACTGGGGATGTGCCCACAACCAAGGTACATGCCCTTGACCGGAATCGAACCTGGGACCTTTCAGTCCTCAGGCCGATGCTCTATCCACTGAGCCAAACTGGTTAGGGCAATTTATTTATTTTTTAAAATATATTTTTATTGATTTCAGAGAGGAAGGGAGAGAGAGATAGAAACATCAATGATGAGAGAGAATCATTGATTGGCTGCCTCCTGCATGCTCTCTACTGGGGATTGAGAACGCAACCCAGGCATGTGCCCCTGACCAGAATTGAACCTGGGACCCTTCAGTCTGCAGGCTGATGCTCTATCCACTGAGCCAAATGGGCTAGGGCAGTGGTCGGCAATCTCATTAGTCAACAGAGCCAAATATCAACAGCACTTCTTCAAAATAGACTCACCCAGGCCGAAAACTGACTTCTGCGCATGGACCACAAAGTTTGAATTGCACTGTACACGCACCTGCACATGGTATTTTGTGGAAGAGCCACACTCAAGGGGCCAAGGAGCCGCATGTGGCTCGCAAGCCGCAGTTTGCCGACCACGGGGCTAGGGCTAAGGGTTTGTATTTTTAAAAGTGGCAAGGAAGGAAGTGTTACATGGGAAAAAATGATTTTTAGCATGTTAAAACAACAAGGTATGCTAACAGGTGATAGGAGTAGATATAGGGCTAGAGCCAGATAGATAGATCTTCATGATCATTTTATAGGTCAAGGAAAAATTTGGAAATAATCTACGTACTAGTGAAACAAATGATTCCTTTAATGTTGACGGAAATGTTAGAATTTCCATAAAAAGATGCTGAAAACAAAAGACAGGAACAAATACACCAGTTGATTATCAACAACTGTGTATCCCAGTTATTCAAGACTCAGAAAAATATTATGTCATTGACTAGTTCTTCATATTTAATTATTTTTTTCTATTAAGTGTGAGTAGATCACTTGAAGCATTTTTGTTTATTTGTTTTACTGAATTTGATTATAGTAAGAGACCATTTATTAATTTATCCGTATATTTTGTGGTGAATTATTATTATTATTATTATTATTATTTTGTACAGACACAGAAACCTCGAAAGTTTGACTGTGAGCTTCCAGATATTTCATTAAAAGATTTACAGTTTCTGCAATCACTTTGTCCTTCAGAAGTTCAGCCATTCCTCAGGTAAATGTCATTAGTATTTTTAACTGTAGATATCACCTTACTCTGTTTACATCATTCTGGAACTGTGGAAAGTAGCACCAACCCTCCTAGGAGATGCCAGGATAGAGAACTGTTTTATGATAGACTGACCCTCCTATGACTACTTTAGGAAATTTCTGGGGACTATTAAAATCAGAAAATAAGGAAATTAATATCTTATGTGCAGTTAATTTTTTTTCTAGTAGTCACTCTGCTTCGCATACTGTGGGAGATTTCTAATATTTTAATGATGATGTCTTAGGTTTCTTTAGCTCTTTCTGGTAATGATTGAAAAAGGATGATAATGCAGTAGTGATTTTTTTAAATTAAAAAATATTTTTATTGATTTCAGAGAGGAAGGGAGAGGGAGAGAGAGAGAGACAGAAATATCAATGAGGAGAGAGAATCATTGATTGGCTGCCTCCTGCATGCCCCTTATTGGGGATCAAACCTGAAATCTAGGCATGTGCCATTGACCGGAATCGAATCCAGGACCCTTCATTCCACAGGCTGACGCTCTATCCACTGAGCCAAACTGGCTAGGGCTGCAGTAGTGATTTTTGACATAGGTTAAAATATTTGGTTATACTTAATTCATCTTTTAATTAAGAAATCAGAAATCTAATTTGATTACATTTTGTTTCAGGGTCCCCTTACTCTGTGACTTTGAACCTCTACACCAGCATGTACTTTCTCTACATAACTTGGTAAAAGCAGCACAAAGTTTGGATGAAATGTCACAGACCATTACAGATCTACTGAGTGAACAAAAGGCAAATTAAGTTCTTTCAATTGGCTCACGTTATTAGTGTAAAATGTTGATATTGCTGCAGCTATAGAAGCCTGTCTCTTTCTTTTCTAGGCATCCATGAGTCAGACATCCCCACAGTCGACTTCCTCACCAAGAGTAGAAAGTGCAACAGGAATTACAACAACTACCTCACCAAGAACTCCTCCTCCACTCACTGTGCAGGATCCCTTATGTCCTGCAGTATGTCCCTTAGAAGAATTGTCTCCAGATAGCATTGATGCACATACATTTGATTTTGAAACTATCCCCCATCCAAACAGAGAACAGACTATTCACCAAGTTTCATTAGATTTGGATTCATTAGCAGAAAGTCCTGAATCAGATTTTATGTCTGCTGTGAATGAGTTTGTAATAGAAGAAAATTTATCATCTCCTAATCCTATAAGTGATCCACAAAGTCCAGAAATGATGGTGGAATCACTTTATTCATCAGTTATCAATGCAATAGATAGTAGACGTATGCAGGATACAAATATATGTGGTAAAGAGGACTCAGGAGATCATGTGTCTCTAAATGTCCAGTTGGAAAAATGTAGGGTTGTTGCCCAAGACTCACAATTAACTATACAAACCATCAAGGAAGACCTTTGCCACTTCAGAACATTTGTACAGAAAGAACAGTGTGACTTCTCAAATTCTTTAAAGTGTATAGCAATAGAAATAAGAAACATTATTGAAAAGGTAAAATACTCTGTGGAAATAACACTAAATGAAAAACATCAGAAAGAATTGCAGTCTTTAAAAAGTGATTATGAAGACAAACTTGTTGCACTAATAAAAGACAGTGAAGAAAATGAAAACAAAATTAAAAAGCTTAAAGGAGACTTAGTATGCCTTGAGGAGGTGTTACAAAATAAAGATAATGAATTTGCTTTGGTTAAGCATGAAAAAGAAGCTATCATCTGCCTGCAGAATGAAAAGGACCAGAAGTTGTTAGAAATGGAAAACGTAATGCACACTCAAAATTGTGAAATTAAAGAACTGAAGGAGTCACGAGAGAGAGTGTTAAAAGACTTTAAAAAGCTCCATGTTGAAAATGATGAGAAGATCCAGTTGTTGAGGACAGAACTGCAGAGCTTAGAGCAAAGTCATTTAAGGGAATTAGAGGACACCCTGCATGTCAGGCACACACAGGAGTTCGAGAAAGTTATGACAGACCACAAAGATTCTTTGGAGAAATTAAAAAATGAAAATCAACAAAGAATTGATCAGATACAAGAGTCCCATGCCACAATTATCCAGGAAAAAGAGCGACAGCTACAGGAGTTAAAACTCAAGGTTTCAGATTTGTCGGATATGAGATGTAAGTTAGAGGTTGAACTTGCATTGAAGGAAGCAGAAACTGATGAAATAAAAATTTTGCTGGAAGAAAGTAGAACCCAGCAGAATGAGACCTTAAAATCTCTCCTTGAACAAGAGACGGAAAATTTGAGAACAGAGATAAGTAAACTAAACCAAAAGATTCAGGATAACAATGACAATTATCAGGTGGGCTTGGCAGAGCTAAGAACTTTAATGACAATTGAAAAAGATCAGTGTATTTCAGAGTTAATTAGTAGACATGAAGAAGAATCTAATATGCTTAAAGCTGAATTAAACCAGGTAACAGCATTGCATCATCAAGCATTTGAAATAGAAAAAAACCTGAAAGAAGAAATAGTTGAACTGCAGGGTAAATTGGACTCTGCATTGAGTGCGCTTGAAAAACAAAAAGCTGAAAAACTCACCCAACAAGAAGAGAAGTATGAAGCTGTTATCCAGAAACTTGAGAAAGACAAAGAGAAATTCATAATGAACCAGGAACAAGACAGAGAAGAGTTAATTCAGAAGCTTAATAGTGAAAAAGAAGAAGCTATTCAGACGGCCCTAAATGAATTTAAATTGGAGAGAGAAGCTGTTGAGAAAGAGTTATTAGAAAAAGTTAAACATCTTGAGAATCAAATAGGAAAAAGGTAAGAACTTTAGTCTGTGATTATAAAATAAAAACATTGGTGATTCGAATGTCAATTTTGTGTGTAAGTAAGCACAGTACCTTGATTTATTCATTTATCTTAGGTAAATGTAGCAATTGAGATATATTTATGAAATAAAAACTTAAAAATGTTTATTGTAAACATTTTGAAAATCTATAGTGGATTTTAATAATGGATTAGAGTTTTGGATTTCTAGAGGAAAATTTTTTTTGAAAATTTCAAAATATTTTCAAGAGCTTCTTTTTCCTTTCTTACAAATTTCATTTTTTGTTAATCTTCACTCGAGGATATTTTTCCATTGATTTTTAGAGAGAGTGGAGGGGAGGGGGAAAGATGAATAGAGAGAAATATTGCCTCCCGCACCCGCCCCGACCAGGGCCAGGGATCAAGCCTGCCACCAAGGCATATGCCCTTGACTGGAGTCGAACCCAGGACTCTTTAGTCCGCAGGCCAACTCTCTATCCACTGAGCCAAATCGGTTAGGGTATAAATTTTCTTTGGTTTATTTGAAGTTTTTCCCCCAAAATTCTTCAATTGAAAATTACTTATTTTTTCTCTTTTTAAATTGTGTTTGTATGTATAAAAGATAACAGTTTTTTTTCTGAGCAGTGTTTAGTAAAGGTTAAATTCTAGATTGGGGCTATATAGTTTCATCATTGTTATTTTCTTGATATTACAACTTAGTTTATTTCTTTGGTGTTTCAAAAGATGTTTTTAAATCCCAGGTTTTATATAGTGCATTTTTTTGTACTTTTATTGTTACTAATACAACTTTTTATTAGAAAAAATGTTTCTCAGGTTTTTCTATTCCTTAAAATTTATTGAAGGATTTTATGGCTTAATAAAAAGTTTCTAGAACATTATCGATTAGTTCTATCATTACTTCTTCCAGTTGAATATATTTATAGTTATATGTACATTATATTTGAATTTCTGTTTCTCGCCTCATCACTTTTGCACAGTCACTTGTGATTGAGTCTCTGCTGTGTAATATATATTGGTGTACAGTTAAACCTCTTCTGTATTCTATGGGAACTAGAGGGTGTAATATAGGAGTTAGAACCTGCATGAAATGTTTTATAGAACTGGGGCAGGTAAGGCCAAAGTAGTCACTACTGAAGGCCAGGAGAATTCTGAGTGAAATATGAGGAAAAGAGACATTAAGCACACACCAAAGCTCATGTTGTCCATGGCTCACTGGGAAGCTGCTGCAACATTCAAGAATCTCTTCAAGCCCCAATGATGTGGCTCCATCTGCAGCACACAATGGGTAGTTCTCATTTTCTTGGCAGGAGGCTCCTGTGAAACTGCATCTGGAGACAGCTACCCCTGGAGAGTTAGCCTGGGCTGCTTTTCTACTCTCCAAACTTGTACCTGTTCTTTTCATTGGCAGACTTGAAGTTATAAAGGGGATTCTGGGAAATATAGAATCTGCTTTACATTGCAGATGAGAAAAGAGATGAGAACAATGGCAAGATGACGCCAGTCTAGCACTGTATACCTCATTTTAAACTTAATCACAAATCTCTTTTACCCATATTGAACTTCCAAATAAAGATACTTGCAATGTTATGTTTCTGTCTAAAGTGATTGAGCTTATATGCCTCATATCTCCTCAGATTACCAAACCCTGTCTTCAAAAGGCGAGAGTCAAATTTAGGCCATTCTAGCCATCCCAGAGATGTCCATTCATTTTACACAGCTACATCTCTTTTTGATATTCTGCAAGTTGCATGCTGAAATATAGGGTTAACTACCATTATCACAACACATTACGTACTAGGGAAATGGGAGAAAGAAAAAAGATGAAGATTGATTGATTTATGCAATCTTAAGTCCTATAGTCTTTATTGCTGTAATTTGCCTTGTAACTCTAGTAGGTATTTATAACTTGCTTCTATTACACACCCACTTTTTACCTTAGACCTTACCTCAGCTGATTTTACTTGTTGATCTGAGGAGACTGTCATTAATGGTCCATCCTATAATATAGTTGCTGTAGTTTTTCATTTGACGCTTATTTTTTGGTAATCATCACTTGAGGATATTTTTCCATTTATTTATTTTTAGAGAGAGTTGTGGGGCGGGGAGAGAAACATCGATGTGAGAGAGACACATCGATTGGTTGCCTCCTGTTTGCACCCCGACTGGGGCCAGGGATCAATCCTGCAACCGAGGTAGGTGCAGAGCATGTATGCATTCTTTACTCTAGCCATGCAAAATTTCACCCATTGAGTGCTATAACTGAGTTTTCAGTAGTTTGGTCCACAGTTGTATCAGGCCAGCTGCTTTAGGGATTGGCATACGTGGTGAGATTAGTGACTCCCATGGGCATGAGTCCATGGCTGCACGTCTTTCACTGTAAAGTAAAATCCCTTCTTCAGAAGTAATTCTAGTGGAATAACATAGCAGTGAATAAGGCATTTTGTAAGTTCAGGAATGGTTTTTCTTGCAGAAACATTGTGAGCATGGAAAGAGAATAATGGACTGTTTTTGTGAGAACAGATTACTTTTCATGGTGGAAGTGGTCAAGGGTAGTTGACCTGTCACCAAGTGTCTGGCTCATCTCCTGAGGAAGTGCTGAAATATTGGGGGCTCGGTGTTAGTGACAGCCCCCTTTGCTGAGCCCATACATAATCTCACTGCATGTCATTAGCATTTTGAACAGGACTGGTGTGTGTGGCTAAAGAATTTGACTGATACAGAATGTTCAACGTGCCCATCTGATGATTATGAGGTTCCTCAAAGTGGGACATAATATACTCAGAGGACTTACAGATCCTTATGCTTTGTGCCCATTTCAAGAGGTTCACCTGTATTTCTCTTCTGCAAATCTTGTCACCAGATCTCAGTCTAGTTTCTTCCAAGTCCCTTGCTGTCCAGTCAAGTCTTTGGCTAATATCCATGAATCACTTGATTTGTAGTCCTGGCCATTTCTCCTAGGCAACTCCAAGTACACTGCTTGATATACTGCTACTGGGAAGATTTTCCTTCACTGCTGTTCTTCAGGATCACTTCTCAGTGGGCTCTAATACTTGAACTGTGCTTTTGAATAGTGTCAGCATATTGTGCAGAATTATGAGGAAACCAGATTGGTTGGTTTCCCTTCACCCCCATATTGAATGCCATACTTGTGATGGAGAGAAAAGAAGCAATGTAGCAGGAGTAAGAATCTTGGGAACCTGAACCTCTTGGACCTTATTTGTGCCATCAGGATTTGTTTAAGCTCCAGCCCATACATGCCACATCTATTTGATGATGGAGTGCCTCATCGGTTAATGAGTTAGTATCTACTTTATGATGGACAACTCAGGTAACATGGTAACTTGGGAGACCATGTGAAGTCTTTCAGTTTCTGTATAGACCCAGTAGCAAGCCATTTACCAGAGGAAAATAGTTACCAGCTCCAAAAATCCTAAGGGTCTCAACTGCTTGTCTTAGGACTTGCTAACAGTTTCATACAGTATCCATTCCTGCTGCAGACACTTCAGGTATCCGCTGGTAAATATGGCGCAAGGGGTAAAGCAGCTTGCGTGATAGTTTGGACCTATTGCAAGAGTGTCTCTTGCTGTGGATCTTTCGCAGAACAGGCCAACTTAAAAGTTATTTGGTAAGTGAGTCACAGCAGCATTCCCAAATGTACTATAGATTGCACCCAGAATTCAGGGATGCTCACCTAATGGCAGCTTGCTTGTTCACCATGGAAGGAACATCTCACATGCCCAGACCCCAGGATACTTAGAAATTTTTCTGTGCTGACCAGCTCCTAACTTTTCATGGGCTTTATTGCTCACTCTGTGGTAATAAATGTCTTTCCCTGGTTAGCTCACGTAGTTACTTCTTCCTTTTTACTAGGTTTAAGAAGCATATTGCCATAAATGTATAATGTGGTATCTTGAGGACTAGCAAGAAAACAAACTAGATTTTAATAGGACTGGAGAGTTGCTATAACCCAGAGATCAGACAGTGAAAGTATATTGATGTCTCTAGGTAAAATCAAACTGCTGCTTGTGGTCTACACCAACGGTTGACAAACCATGCCTGTGGGAGTCCAACCCGCTGCTTGTTTCTGTTTTTGTCAGTACAGCCATATTGGAATACAGAGATGCTTGTTCCTTTCCCTACTGCCTGTGGCTGATTTTGGCAGAGTTGAGTAGTTGCGACAGAGATCACCTGGCTAACATTTTTAATTACCGCCCCCCCCCCCCCAAAAAAAAAAAAAGTTTGTCAACCCCTGAATTGTACTAATAGGTATAGATGGGAAAGAAATCACCAAATCAGTAGCTACATGTCAGGCCACTAGGCCTTGTTGATTTGCTCCAGGAAAGATATCATATGTGAAACAGCAGACTTACTGGAGTCACTACCTGGTTAAATTTTCGATAATCTGTTGCATGCTTTTATATGTTTTATTCAGGACATATACTTAGGTCAAATAAAAATGTGATAGAAATCTCCTCCCCTAGACAGACAATGGGGTGGTGAGGTGGGGGGGAGGGGACAGGACCAGGCTGGAAAAGATTAATGGGAGAAAAAGGAAGACCTATGTAATACTTTCAACAATAAAGATTAAAAGAAAAAAAAAAAAAAAAAAAAAAAAAAAAAAAAAAAAAAAAAAGAAATCTCCTCCCCTATATGGTTTGAAGGGAGAGACAGTTCTAGGGATTTTACTTCGTCCTCATTCTATGAGTTAGGAGACCAACAGGGATTCCCCATCAGTTGCTTTTTACTGCAGATTCTGGATGTAGGAGATATCTCTTACCTCTGATGAGGGGCCCACTGGGCCCAGACTTCTCTATCATCAGTAATCTGGTGGATCTCAGTGGCATTAGAATCCCCTCAGAGCCAGTGCTCAGTAGTCCCCCAAAATTGGTTAAGTACCTTCCCTGAATATATACTCACCTGGAAAACTGCCACAGGTGCTTTTGGTGAGGGTTAGAAAAAAGACTTAACAGTATAAAATTTTGGCATTGTAGTTG